TTACCCAGATGACCACTCAAGACTTTCAGGATCAGCAAGGAAGCCTTTATTAGTTGGCCAGCAACTACAGCCTCCCTAAAAGCGGGAAATACTGCAGCACCGACCCCATTTTTCAAAGAGTATTTATACATAGGCAGTCTGACATTATCTTGTACAAACCAAGGGTATGATGTATGCATGAGCTGTTAGGGTGGGGGCTAGGAGTACATCAGCTGGGACAGTTACTTCTTAAGATTAACTTTGGCCAGTTGTTCTCAAGGTTAGCCTTGGCTGGCTGGCCGCAGCTCCTATTAGTCAGGCAGGCCCACTCAGATGTCAGGAGTTTGCATAAGCAGTGTTACAGAAGCCAAGTTTAGCCAGAGTTAAGGGGGAAGGGGATTCTGCATCCAGGGGAGTTGTTGATGCTAAAAAATTTTCCACTTCAGCCTGAGCCTTTCTTAAAAATTGGTTACTATAGGGCAATTGGGCCTCACAATTAGAATCCCCTCCGTGCAGCATCGGTTAGCAGTATTTGCCTCTATGTCCTTCTTTTTTTGATGTTCCTCCACTTTATCACGCATGGTGTCTTTCTCCAGTGACTGGTCACTCATAATATGTCTGAAGTATGAATACCGAGGTCTGGCCATCTTGGCTTCCAAGGAGCATTCTGGTTGTATTTCTTCCAACACAGATTTGTTTGTTCTTCTGGCAGTCCATGGTACCTTTAATATTTTTCTCCAACACCGTAACTCAAATGCACCAATTCTTCTACGGTCTTCCTTATTTGCTCTTCAACTTTCACATGCCTATGCAGGCTATTTGAAAATACCCTGGCTTGGGTCAAGTGCACTTTAGTCCTCAAACTGATGTCTTTGCTCTTGAACACTTTAAAGAGGTCTTGTACAGCAGATTTGTCTAATGCAATATGTTGTTTGATTTCTTGACTGCTTACTTGAGTGTTAATGGTGGATCTAAGCAAAATGAGGTCTCTGACAAGTTCAACCTTTTCTCTATTTATATTGAGGTTATTTATTGGTCCAGTGGTGAGGATTTTTGTTTTCTTGGCATTAAGGTGCAACTCATAACGGAAAATGTGGTTTTTGATCTTCATCAGTAAGTATTTTAAGCCCTCTTTGCTTTCACCAAGCAAGGTTGTGTCATCTGTATATTGCAGGTTGTTAATGAGTCTCCTTCCAATCTTGATGCCACGTTCTTCTTCATATAATCTTGGTTTATTTCCTCAGCATACAGATTGAATAAGTATGGTGAAAGAATACAAACCTGGCACATACATGTTTCCTGATTTTAAACCATTCCCTGTCCCCTTGATCTGTTTGAACAATTGCATTTTGGTCGGTGTACATTTTCCTCGTGAGCACAGTTAAGTGTTATGACTACTCATTCTCTGCAAAGTTGTCCATAGCTTGTCATGATCCACACAATCGAAAGCCTTTGCGTAGTCAATAAACCACAGGTAAACATCTTTCTGTAGTCTCTGCTTTCAGCCAAGATCCATCTGACGTCAGCTACGATTTTCCTATTCCATGTCTTATGAATTATTTTTACCAAAAATTTAGTTGCATGTGATATTAACGATATTGTCCTATGATTTCTGCATTCCGTTGGGTTACCTCTCTGTGGAATGGGCGCAAATATGGATCTCTTCCAATCAGTTGGCCTGGTAGCTATCTTCCAAATTTTTTGGCATACATGAGTGAGGGCCTCCAGTGCTGTATTTCAATTTGTATTCCATCAATTCCTGGAGCCTTGTTCTTTGCCAATGCCTTCAGTGCACCTTGGACTTCTTCCTTCAGTATCGTTGGCTCTTGATCATATGCTACCTCTTGAAATGGTTGAACGTTGATCATTTCTTTTGGTACAGTGCCTCTATGTATTCCTTCCATCTTCTTTTGGTGCCTTCTGCATAATTCAATATTCTGCCCAAAGAATCCTTCAGTATAGCAAG